CTCTCTGGAGGGTTGGCAGTGTAGAGATATGTCCAGTGAGGTTGTAGATGGGTGGTCCCCTTGGCCAAATTTTACTGACATGTTTTATGGCTTTTATAGCATTTGAAAAATATTCAAATTATTTTAAAACACAGGCATTGTTCACAATAAATCCCCTAGTGTCAGCTTTTCTTGAGAAACTGGGAGCTCTGGTTTAGAGGTTGTAGCTGCCCCCGAGAAAGGACCTGGTCATGGCACCTTCAGCACAGGTCTTGGGGCTCTAGATTGTTCTGTCACTGGTTTAGAAAGGTCTAGACTGGGAACACCTTCCACTAGGTTGAATGACTCTGGGGTTTACTGGAGTCCCCTTTGCACCTGCCAGCCGTCTGTGTACAAAGGACTGTGGTGGGATGCGTTTTGGAACAACCCCTTCCTGGTAATCCATGGATTTGGAAGGGAATCTCCCCAGCACCTTCTGTGAGAACTGACACCACTTCTCTCTCTTTTCTCTTTTTTTAAAATTATAATGTGTTTTCAGAATGTGATTTTATAAATTATTATTTTACAAGGGCCACGTTGTTTGCGTAGTGCTTTATAGGTTATATCTGGCCACAGCTGGAGCACTTCTGGGTGTTTTATGGCAAATTATTCTCAGATTACCCTTTAATGCAGGAGGGGCTGCCTGTTGTCTGAGCTCCCTGGGTCATACAGAAACCCCAGCCTTGATACAAAACAGCTGTTTGCGTTCCAAGGAGGAACACTTCAGGCAGAAACAGAAGGGAAGAGGTTTTCATAGCTGGTGGGGGTTTTGAAAAATGTTTAAGTTATTCTTTCCTTGCCATTAAAATGTGATTTAATTTTGTTACCAACAAATTGTGTAAATCTAAGAGAGAAGCACTGTGAAAGGAGTTTCTTAAGAGCGGTCTGGCAATACTTACAGCGTGTCCTGAGGGGGTGCTCCCCAGGGGGGCCAGCACAAAACTCCTGCTGACCTCCACGTCCCTGGGCCTCAGTCCGGCTGGGCCAGGGTCAGGGGGCAACCCCCAGACCCCCCTCCCCTTTCTCCTCTGGGCCCCTTCTGAGACCAGCGACAAAGGGGCCAATTGTCTGAGGCATCCCCCTGTCTGAGGGGCTCTAGGAGCCTTTCTGAATGCCGCAGTGTATCCATGCACGTTGGAGTGTATGTGTGATATACATATGTATATGTATGTATATATGTACACATGTGATGGTTCTTGCCCACATGTGCATGTAGCAACTGTGCAAACGCATGCATTCACACATACGCACATTTGAGCAAGCATGTGTGTGTATATACACTGTGAAGATATGTGTATATACATGTGTGCACATGTATGTGAATGGATGTGTCCATATGCACACTAATGCATTTGGGTGTGCATGTATGTGTGTGTGAGTGCATGAGATGCACGCAACTTGCTTAAAGAATTTCTGAGTCATTAGTGCATCCAAGCAGAGCCAGTGGCCTCAGAAGCTGGACTGGCCAATGGTGGGGCTCCCAAGGCTGAGGGAATAAAGGATCTGGCTCACTTCTGAGCAGGTTGCACCAGCTGCCTTTATGTGGTGTTTTCTCTGGTATGGAAAGCTTAGAGCTGTTTCTCCTCACTTGCTTTCCCTGGAAGAAGTGGGGGAGAGCAGGCATAAGCAGTCTCCTCATATAGCCTGTTCCGACCTGGGCTTCCAAGCTAGACCCTCCAGAGATTGTCTGCTCCCTTCCCGTCCCTTCCCGGGGCTGCCTGCTTGGATCCAGCACATCTGTGTACAACAATCATGAGATGTCCTGTCCTCATCAACACTGTGAATTAGGGCTCTTTCCTGTGTCCCATCATTTTGGTCCCTAACACAGACTGTTCACAGAGGTCTGTAGGGATCAGTGGCTGGGCCGGCCTTGGGTATATGCCAGCCCTGTCTGATGGAGTCTGCAGGGCTCAAATTTTCTTCTTTATTAAAATTGTCATTCTAAAAAAACGTCATCAACACACATTTGACTCTGAAGCTGGGGAGCGAGAAGGAAAATGCTTGCGTTCTCTGGTCTACCTCCACAGTAGTTCTCCCGGCCCCTTCTGCTTGCACAGCTGCCCTGGAATAGCTTTCCACTTTCTTTCCCTTCTTGTCTCCCCGTCCCCCTCCCCGTTTCCTCTCCGCTCCCAGCAAGGGCTTATCTTTCAATGTGGAAAAGCCACCAATTAAACTTTACTCCAAAGCTTATCAAAATATTCAGTCGGTGAAATTATCTTATAATTAGCTGAACTGTAAGCCAGAAGTCTTTAAACCGCAGGAAATGTAACACGACCCAGTGTGTGGCGGCCGTCTGTACGATGCTCATCCCACCTTGGCTGCAGCCGCTGCTTTTCATTCTCTACCCTGCGTTTCCTCCTTGTTCTGTGTGCTCTTAATGGTCCCTGAGGCCTCAAAGAAAATACACTACACGTTTAGCTGAGGTAGATAATGGAATAAATTCAGTTAAGTATAAGATTAACTTGATTTGTAATAGTTCTTGCATGCACATTTATATACTCTTGTGTGCATGCATGTTCATGTATGTGTGTGTATATATTTGTTGGGGGCTGGGCATGTGTGTAGAGGCCAGGAGACAGGTGCTGTTCACCTCTTCTATCTATCTATCTATCTATCTATCTATCTATCTATCTATCTATCTATCTATCTATCTATCTATCAATCTATCTATCAGGAAAGGTCTTTCTCAGGCCTAGAACTTACCATGTAGGCTAGACTGACTGACCATTGAGTCCCAGGAACCTGTCTTGTCTGCTCCTTCCTGATGTGAGGGTTACAAGTGACTGCTACCACATCCA